CTATATATCTGTCTATCTATCTATCTGTCTATCATCCTTCTATCTATCTATCTCTCTATCTGTCTATCATCCTTCTATCTATCTATGTATCATCCTTCTATCTATCTGTCTATCTATATATCTATCTTGATGAAGACGACCAGGGTAAGGAAGTACAAAAATGATACAATAATCACCCTAATTCTATAAGAATAGCAAAATCCACATTATAACTTGTAGTGTGGACTTCGCTATTCACTTTCAGAATTATTTTTTTTTCCAGCTGATGAATGATTTTTTATTGGATTCAACTTTTACCTGTTACCTTTTAGTAGGACACTTGGCAGCTCTACATCTATTGCCTTTTTCCTTAACACATATTTTATTTCTAGCATATTAAATTAGGTAAATTCAAAATCTTCAGTGCACTCAAAATTCATCCTGTGATAGCTGTATTCAAATCGGTGGAAAGGTCTGATACTCAAGGTTCCATTTTCGGCAACAATTTTGAAATAAAAGTGAAACGTAACAGATATGTAATAATTTGTGACAGGAGAAAGCATCACCTAAACAAAATCTGCCAGGAACTTTTTTGTGAAAAATATCGTTACACTTTATTTGCTCTGTTTTATTTTGTGAAACCTTACTACGTATATGGAATAACCGTTTTATAAAAGCAATAATCCCCGTGAAGCGTGGTTTACAGTGAATTTATAACAGCTAAAACAACACCCCTTAGCTGTTATAAATTCACTGTAGACCACGGTTTCACAGGGATTATTGTTTTAGTTGGATTTAGAGTGATGTGATTGTGAGTAAATGAGGACAGAACTTACTTTCTTTAATCAGCAAGACTTCCTTCAACCAGCTTCACCAGAAAAGATTGAATAAAGTACAAAGTAAGTCCGCAGATTCTGTCTGGGCGTGTTTATGTGTTGTGGGATGTACTTAATCATTCTTTACATTTCATCAAATTATGTCATATTTTATATATATATATATATATTTCAATTCCTCATTGTTTTCAGCATCCTCTGTCAGAACTGGCGATTCTGTTTGCAAATTTGCCTAATTTGTCATGTTGTCATGGAAAACTAATTCTCCTTTATTGAATTTAGAATAATAATTAAGTGAAAGATATGGAAGCCCGTTTCCGCCACTGAATAAAAAATTATTTTTACCGAAAAGGTATTTGCGACTTTTTATCACATGTGTGATACATGACACAATCTCGCGATTGCGTGTTATAAAGTTCAATTCGGAGGAAAAAAGTTTATATCTCACAATTCTGACTTTTTTTCTCGCAATTCAGATTTTTTTTCTCGCAATTGTAAGATATAAACTCGCAATTGCCAGTTATAAAGTCCTGAGTAAAGTTATAATTTCTGAGGAAAAAAAGAGACTATTTTTTACCATTGTGAGTTTATATCATGCGATTCTAAGAAAAAAGTCAGAATTGCGAATTAATATCTTGCACTTTATTTTTTATTCAGTGGCGGAAACTGGCTTCCATAGAAAGAAGATTGCCCACTAGACCTACTGAAATAAGCATCTCGAAATTAGACTTATTGCATTTCTTTTTACTCAGGGACCAGAATAAATACAAGGAAGCCGCTCATCTCCTTAATGATGCCCTGTCAATCAGAGAAAAGACCCTGGGCAATGACCACCCAGCTGTAAGTACAACAAAATATTACACTAAAAACTGGGTGCATATACAGTCGTGCTTGGGTTACTATCCACTAGATTTGCTACTAAATGTCTTCCAAGATTCAGTGCCTTGAATGTCTTGCAAACTTCAAATCAAGAAACTAGTTCTATATAGACCTATAGGAACGATGGCACTTTTCACATCATTGAGTAAAGCCAGGCAATCAGATTGGAGCCTGTGATTTTTGAGAAAGCTTTTGTTATATTTATGGCAAATGGTCCATGAACAGTACAAAGGCGTTCTGTCTGGATCCACACTGCACCCTGTAATAATCAGTGTCCATATTCCATGACTAATCCAGGTGGCGGCCACCCTCAACAACCTGGCGGTCCTGTACGGAAAGAGAGGAAAATACAAGGAAGCAGAACCACTGTGCAAGAGAGCCTTGGAGATCAGAGAGAAGGTACTCTCACTAAAACCTGGCCTGCTTGTGTCATGTCAACTGATTACAATGATATCTGAATAATCATGTCTTCTGTGACTAGTCAGCCATATTGTAATGATTCCTCTCTCTCTCTTTCGTTGCTCAGGTGTTGGGGCGGGAGCACCCAGACGTGGCCAAGCAGCTGAATAATCTGGCTCTGCTCTGTCAGAATCAGGGGAAGTATGAGGAGGTGGAGTATTATTACTGCAGGGCTCTAGATATCTACGAGAAAAAACTGGGACCCGACGACCCCAATGTCGCCAAGACCAAAAACAACCTGGTGAATATAATCGGCACTCATGTTTGCACAACAAACCAGGCTCATGCATTGTTAAGAGATCTATGTTAAAACATATGTGACCCTGGAGCACAAAAGCAGTCTTAAGGCGCTGGGGTATATTTGTAGCAATAGCCAACAATACATTGAATGGGTCAAAATTATCAATTTTTCTTTTATGCCAAAAATCATTAGGATATTAAGTAAAGATCATGTTCCATGAAGATATTTTGTACATTTCCTACCGTAAATATATCAAACCTTAATTTTTGATTAGTAATATGCATTGCTAAGAACTTCATTTGGACAACTTTAAAGATGATTTTCTCAATATTTAGATTTTTTTGCTCCCTCAGATTCCAGCTTTTCAAATAGTTGTATCTCAGCCAAATATTGTGCGATCCTAACAAACCACACATCAATGGAAAGTTTATTTATATCAGAGAATTGACTCTTATGACTGGTTTTGTGGTCCAGGGTCACATATCGTACTTCATCTATTACCTGTAATAGAAATAAGTGCACACATTCCTTTTTTTAAGGGTATGTCATAATTGTAAAATTGCTTCTTTAATATTTTCCCTGCAGGCTTCATGCTATCTGAAACAGGGCAAGTACAAGGAAGCTGAGATCCTCTACAAAGAGATCCTGACGCGCGCCCACGAGAAAGAGTTTGGATCTGTAGATGGTACGATCATTGCTTGAGTATGGCTCTTCATTATTCATTAGCTGACAGCCTGCATGCTTTCTCACAAACGGGATTTTATTTTCTTTCTTTGGCAATGCTATGAAACTGAACTGTTGTCATTGCTGAATGATGCGTGTTGATGACCTCTCGCCAGCCATGACCTGGTGATGACCTTTCTGCACACCTGACCTCTGGTTTACTACCATTCACTGTGAGCCGTGGATTTCACAGAAATCCAGGAGCAAACACAACTGATAAAACATCTTTTTAATACCGTCAAATATAGGATTGATTCACACTCAGAAGGGTTTGGGACTAAATCTTACATGTTCTTGCCATATATGTATATATGTTTTTCTGTGAAGATGAATTGGCTTTCAAATATGGACGCTATATTAGTGAACTGCTTGCCTGTGCCAGGCAAAATATTCAATGTGAATGTCTCCAAAATAAATGCGAAAGCAGAAGTGCAAATTACTGTACGAACAACTGAACAGATGGTTTTTATCTGTGATTACTTGGAAGCTGTACAACTTTCAGGTGACGTTCTGTTACGTCATTTGTGACTTTCTTTTATTTTCACAATCTCATCCTTTTTTTGTCCTTTTATTTTGTGTTCTTTAATATCAGAAAATTGATTATCCCTTCAGAATAGGCCAATCTGTGTGTTGTTTATATGATTTTGTTAATAATTTTAATGTCGATTTCACACTTGATTTCAATAAATCAACTTGATTGATTTCTTCATTTTTCTATATTTTCTGTTTCATACGTTCACGCCCAATTTATTTTGTGCTCTTGACATTTTTAATACATGTTCTCCTGGTGGACTGTTGGTAAATGACAGAACTTCAAGAATGTAGTTACTTCAGTTATTGTTTGATCCCATACGTATGGAAGCCCGTTTCCGACACTTAAAAAAATGGGTAATTTGCGACTTTTTTCTCAGAATTGCATGATATAAACTCACAATTACAAGTTATAAAGTCAGAATTGTGAGATATATATACACGTAGTTATCGCAAAACTTGCAATTCTAACATTTTTCTCGCAATTCTTTTTTTTCTCTTACAATTGTGAGTTTATATCTGACGATTCTGACATTATTGTGCAGTTGTGTCTCATTTTCTCAGAATTGTGAGATAAACAGTCGCAATTTTGAGTAACAAAGCCCAATTCTAATGAAAAAAGACTTGCTATTTTCTTAAAATGTTGAGTTTATATCTTGCAATTCTGACGTCATAACTTGCAATTGCGAATTTATCTCTTGCATTTTTTAGAAAAAAGTCTGAAATGTGAGTTTTTGTCACAGAATTGCGAAAAAAAAGTAAGAAGTGTGAGATAAAAAGTTGCAATTGTGAGTAATAAAGTCTAATTTCAACGAAAAAAAGGACTGACTATTTTCTTACAGTTTTGAGTTTATATCTTGCAATTCTGACTTCATAACTTGCAATTGCGAATTTATGTCTTGCATTTTTTTAGAAAAAAAGGCAGAATTTCAAGTTTGTATCACACAATTGGGAAAAAAAAGTCTGAATTGTAAGATAAAAAGTAGCAATTACCTTTTTTTAGTTTTATTCAGTTATGGAAACAAGCTTCCATACATATTGATTTTAACAAGTATAAAACTTAACTATGAAACTCCTATAACCTTTGTAACCTAAATCTAAAATTGTAGGAGGAACCCAGTCATATCTAGAAACTAGAATATCATAGAAAAAAGGCATTCGGAATGCCTTAGAAACAGCTTAGCAATTCCCTGGCTAGATTTATAAAAAAATAATAAAAATAAAATAAAAATAATTAAGATTTTACAGTAGTAACTACGGTATTTGGCCGTTTTTACCGTTTTATGTTGCGTTTTTGTTGTAATGGCTTACTACAGTAGCAGAACTGTTTCTCTGTGTCTGCAGCTGAAAATAAACCCATCTGGATGCATGCTGAGGAAAGACAAGAGAGCAAAGTAGGTTTCTGCCAGCACATGCATGTTTGTGTGTGTGTGTGTGTGTGTGTGTGTGTGTGTGTGAAATGCTAAGATGCTCATGTGGGAAGCTGATAGAGTGGGTACAGAAAGTCACCACCCGCTTTCAATATATTCACCATTTGTTGCACAGAGCCTGAACTGAAAACACAATTCTAGCTTTTTACAAACAGAGGAAATGAATCCATCCAACTCTGAATAAGGATTGCACTGCAGTCACTCCACAGATTCTCAATGGGATTTAGGTTGATCCCTGAGTAGGCCACAAGAGAACGTTCACTTTCTTGTCCTTTATGGCTGTTTTGCTGCTCTGATTAGGGTTACTGTCATATTGAAACAGCTGAAACTCCTGGCAGAGGGCTGCAGGTTCTCCTCAGTCTGCCAGTATTTTGAATTTTTCAGTCCTGGCTGAAAAGAAATGCCTCAACAACATAATTCTGCTTCTGTATCTTGTTCTTTGGCTGGGTTTCATCAGACACATTGACAATAGACTTCGTAAAGGACTAATTAATTCCCCATGCCTTTCCACAATCTGTACTGTAAATGTTTTGAAGGGAGGTTGTGGCTGTCTGTACCCAGTCTATATGTATTTACTGCAAACACAGTTTCCCTGTCTGGATGATTGACAGCTGAGAAGATTTTGAGACTTCACTGTCTGTCTCTGTGTGTTTTCCTCCTCCTTTCTCTCAGGGAAAGCTGGCAGATGGGAATCATTATGGGGAATACGGTGGCTGGTACAAAGCCTGCAAGGTGAACAGGTGAGAAAAAGCAGCTATAATTACCCAAACGTACCTGCCCCACAGCTAAAACTGCTGTCTGCAGTTAATTCAGCTGAAACTTCAGCTTAAAGGAATGTCACTTGGGAAAAAAAAGATGAAATAGTTAATTTTTTTGCACGTGCTGCTACTTTCTTCAGAAATGTATACCTAGTCTGAATATTAAACGTGTTGGGAATTATATGAGACTGTGTTTTTTCATACACAGCCCCACGGTAAACACCACGCTGAGGAACCTGGGCGCTCTGTACCGGAAGCAGGGGAAAATAGAGGCGGCTGAGACCCTAGAGGAGTGTGCCGTGAGGTCCCGCAGACAGGTGCAAAATCTGTGAGAATCATAGCGGCGTATGCTGGGACACATTATGTCTTTGTAACGTGTGTGTGTGTGTGTGTGTGTGTGTGTGTGTGTGTGTCAGGGAGCGGCAGTGGATCCTCAGAGAGATGGAGAAAGGCGGAGGAGCACTGCATCCATCTCCAGCGTGAAGTACGACTGCAGCAATGACGCCGGAGAAGAGGGCAGTGTGGAGTGGAATGGGGTGAGTTAGTAATATCTTTGTCATGTTAAACTGCTTTAAGTGTATGGAGCTCCTAAGGGGACATGGTGATGAAAAAAAATATGAGATGGGAGGGAAAATTTTACTCTCGCAAACGTATTGCATTTCTCTGAGAAACGTTGTATTCTTTGTATTGCAAGATGCAAGATTACTGCATTCCCCTAAGAAACTTTTGCATGTCTCGTAAAAATTAAAAAAAAGAGTTCCCCCAAGAAATGTTGCATTTTTCACAAAACGTGTGTTCTCTCACAAACCGTTCTCTTGCAAAAGTATTGGGTTCCCCCAAGAAATATTGCATTCTCTCGCAAAACGTTTTTTGCACAAGTATTGCGTTCCTGCTAGAAACATTGCATTCTTTTGCAAAAGTGTTGCACTCCCAAAAGTTGGGTACCCTCATTAAACATTGCATTCTCTCGCAAAACATTTGTGTTCTTTCTCATGAAAAGTATTGCGTTCCCACGAGAAACTTTGCAATCTCTCGCAAAACATTTGCGTTCTTTTGCAAAAGTGTTGCGCTCTCCAAGAAACTTTGTGATCTCTCCAAAAACATTCGCTCTCTTTTGCAAAAGTTGCGTATACCCATATTAAACATTGCATTCTCTCGCAAAAGTATTGCGTTCCCACAAGAAACTTTGAATTCTCTCACAAAACATTTGTGTTCTTCTGCAAAATTACATGAACTTTTCTTGAGGGAATACAAACATTTTGTGAGCTAATGCATGCATTTCTTGGGTGAACGCAAACATTATGCGAGAGAACGCAAAAGCATTGAAATATAATTTTACCGTCCACCTCATTTTTTTTTACCATCACCCTGTCCCTTTAGTGTCTCCGTAGTAAGTGTTTTTTTGGAATAACACTCATAAAATGTCCCTGCTATCTGACAGATATCACTTATTCGCCAATCAGAAATAGTCTGTATACCTGTCCATTTTGGGTTGGCTAACATATCTTTGTTTTGAAGAGTGGCATATGGCAAAAGTTAGCAAAGTAGTGTAAGTTAGTGAAATGGTCAAACTGCTAACAGCATTACACCATACTTGCATTAAACATACATTATCAATTTGCATGAAATCAAAGTCTACCATATTTTCATTCTTAATTCATGTTCCTTGTCCCGTTGTAAAATATTCAAAAGTACGGAGTCCCAAGTCAAGAATTTAAGAGGTTAAGAATTCAATTGTGGCCACATTGTGCTAATTCGTTCCCTCGCTTTAGGGGGGCGATATTTGGTCACAATATCTTGTTTTTGTCATATGCGGAGCTCCACACATCAGTGCATGTTTTTCTCATATGTGACCCTGGAGCACAAAACTAGTCTTAAGTCGCTGGGGTATATTTGCAGCAATAACCAGCACAATTATCAATTTTTCTTTTATGCCAAAAATCATTAGGATATTAAGTAAAGATCATGTTCCATGAAGATATTTAGTAAATTTCCTACCGTAAATATATCAAAATTTAATTTTTGATTAGTAATATGCATTGCTAAGAGCTTCATTTGGACAACTTTAAAGATGATTTTCTCAATATTTAGATTTTTTTGCTCCCTCAGATTCCAGATTTTCAAATAGTTGTATCTATCCTAACAAACCATACATCAATGGAAAGCTTATTTATTCAGCTTTCAGATGATGAATACATCTCAGTTTTGAAAAATTGACCCTTATGACTGGTTTTGTGGTCCAGGGTCACATATGTATGTTCTGTATATATTATTTGATTAAATATTAGATAGTATTTTTATGATTAAATATTCATCATTTGAAACAATCTTAATTAAACACACAGAGTAAAGCTTGAATTGCAAAAAAAAAAAAGATTAACACTTAGACTCCAGGGATACAATAATGATGCTGTGTTATCCGGCTGTTGGATTGATATCACGTTAAAAAATGAGACCGAGACAGCCTCTTCAGTGTGCCAAAGTGGCCATCGTCCCCTGCTGATGGCATATCCTGTGTACTGCACAGCTATTATAGACCATATAATTAAACATCTGTGATTATAAAGCAGAAGCTCCAAATCAAGAGTGCAATAGAGTTGTATTCCAGAAGTCAAAAGTCCATTCATTTTCTCCATATATATTTTTAACTTATAATGTAGAAATTTGCCTACCGTGAGCTATGATGCTAAACATTTATTTCAGTGAGAAACCAGTTTTTGCAGAGACCAGTGTGACTTGCATTTCATATCTAACATGTGTTTAATTGGGTAATTCTATTGGTCATCACTAAATCAACCTTAATACATTAACATATACTAACAAAACAAATCCTTACAGTTCAAATCAGGTTGTGAGTGTCTTCATGTGCGCTTATGAACAATCTCTCTCTCTCTCTTTGTGTCTCTCTCTCTCTCTCTCTCTCTCTCTCTCTGCAGTAGGCCTAAGCTCTGCTCAGCTTCCTCTGTCTGCTCTTGCAACAAATCAGATCTGATGTAAATGGTTTGCTCTCTGCCGGGTGGAGTGTGTGTGTTTGCGTGGAGAGACGCCCAGCACAGCTTTAACTCTTGCTAAGGCTGATGGGATATCATCTTACATTTCCTGTGTGTTCTTGCCCTCTCTTTCCCTGATTCTTCTTCCAGACACGGACTGATTTCGCTCGTCTGCTCACTCCTCCTTGTTCTCTGCGATGTCTGTTTCTGTGCCTGCATTGTTAACTGTGCTACACTGATTTATAATCTGTAATATACAACCTCAGTGAGACACTCTGATTTATGAACAGGCCCCATTAAAATAAATTAGAAATTAGATTGTGCCTATTGCACTGGCCAACTCTCAGATAAATGAATGTTTAATCTAGCAAAAGGGAAAGTGTATATGGAAATACAGTGGAGTCCAACATTCCGAGTCTGCTGATAATTTTGCATTCTGTACCAAATTAATACATTTCTTTTATTTCCCAGTTATTTCATCGCCATAACAATCGAAAGGTTAAATTCGAAAGTTAACATAAATTTCCTGAACAAAGAAAGTTGTACAGTTTTGAAACAACATGAGTAAATGAGATACCGCTTTAAAAAAGTCACAAATTCACGCTAGTGCAGAATTTTAAAGACGACTTCTTCATTTTCTTAGTTTTACATTTATATCTTCGTCTTCAGATTTTATGGTCTCAAACTTTTGGACCTTGTTACATAACTTGTTACATGTTATAGCACAGTTACCGTTTAGTTCATTAATGTTTATACCTATCTATATTTTATACACATTTTAAAAATACATTTTTTCCCACTCATAATCATGTTTAGTTTGGTAAAAAAAAGTGTTTTGTTGGATATGTGTCAAGTCGGCTAAACTCATTCTTCATTGGCTTTTGTGTTGCCAAAGACATGTGACTTTAAGAAAGGCCAAAAGTTCAGACAAATTCTGCTCAATATGCCAACAGCAGAGGCGGTGAGTTTCTTCAGAAACTGAAGCTATTTTTGCAATTCTGTGTGGTTTTGCTAATGGCATAGAAGCGGCACACTTCATCTCTCAATGTTTCACTGTATGTGTTCACTATTCAGGATTGGTGAATTAGTGCGGCTGTAGCCAATACTTCACTGTAGTCGATTGACTGCAGATTCATGGGATATATATATATATATATACGTATGTGGCTCTTTCTGCACGCTGATGTATGTCTTCATTAAGCTCATCTAACCCAATAAAGGCTTGGAGTGAGTGGCCTGGCCTCTGTCTGTGTGCCTGAATGTGAATTATGAGTGAATGTTTTATCGGAGGCACACACGGTGACCTAGTTTCTGTCACTGGCAGTGGTCACACAGCTGGTATTTGCCTGTTTTCTTCACCATGACAGCACAGAGCATGGATTAAAAGAAAAACAGAAGGGTCATTCCAGGTCTCGAGGGCATATGTGCTGTTATACCTCTAAAACGTTCGATTTTATCATGATGGTGGCTTTAGCACTTTAGTAAAGACTGTTTGCATAGCTGAACGACTTAGATTTAATGCCAACTCGGTCGTATGGATTGGATTTCCACGTCGACAATAAAGCAGCAATGCTATAGTTACGTACCCTAGTAAACCTTAGTTGCATAACCTGAGAGCATGACGTGGTGTTTCTGCAAATACAAACACTTCCTGCCATCTGCTGGGCTCAGAGATACACTGCAGTGCTCCAGATCCTTTCCAGTATGAGGTATTCAACACGTTTACCACTGTGCATTGGAGACCATTGCTAATATGAGAGCTAATACAGTATATTGGCTAAGCTGATAACTCCTATTAGCCACTCAGTAACCCTGCTGGCCTATAATCATGCCAAAATTGTCAGATTAACAGAAGTATGAATTCTCCTTTGTGTCAGGTCCAAGATCTACCAACAGCAAGTGCATACTTTAGTAGGCTGACCCATAAATTAGCATCACCGTGGTACCCTCAATAAAAATGCAATAGTATTTTTCCACTGACTTTTGTATTCAGTGTACTTTTAAATTACAATATTGTTACTCCATAAAAAAGTAACCAATTGTATTACTTTTAATTAGCGCTGTCAAACGATTAATCGCGATTAATCGCATCCAAAATAAAGGTTTTTGTTTACATAATATATATGTGTGTGTGTACTGTATATTTATTATGTATATATAAATACAAACACATGCATGTATATATATTTTGAAAATATTTACATGTATATATTTATAATAATATAACTTATATGTTATATAAATATATTTAATATATTAACATAACATATTTTTCTGAAATATATAAATGCATGTGTTTGTATTTATATAAACATAATAAATATACACACTACACACACACACATATATATTATGTAAACAAAAACCTTTATTTTGGATGCGATTAATCGCGATTAATCGTTTGACAGCGCTAGTTTTTATGTAAGTAATTTATTATGTTACGTTTTTCATGACTTTTTGTCACTTGAGCTGGGCTTGCTTGTTTATTTTTAATAACAAAAAACACAAAAGTTCTATTTTTGGCGACTGTAAGGGCCCTCTCACGCCAAAAGTGAAATTAATAAGCCTCCGGCTGAAGGAAGTGCTTCTGTCTCTGCACTTTCTCCCGATTTCTCTCAACACAGGACAGGAGATCTGCCAGCGAATAAATGGGAAAACAAAGTTACTTGCATTACTTATTTACAAATTATAATTACAATATAATTATAATTACATTACAAATTATTTAGATATTTTCTTGTAAATTTTCAATTATAAAACGATAGTTCCGGTCCTTGATTCTGATTGGTTGAGCCAAGTTCGAAGCTGTTACAAACATACACCTTTGTTTACTTCTGTGTGCTCGACAACCACTTTGTTGGAACCACAACTGATTCTGAGGAACTACTCCGCTTCGCATCGTGCCTAACAACGCCCCTTAGCTGTTAGAAATTCACTGTAAACCACGGCTTCTTGGGGCTTATTGCTTTAGTAATTCATTACTTTACTAGTTACTTGAAGTAAAAAGTAACTTGCGTTACTTGTAATGCATTACCCACAACATTGTTTGTATTGTTGCAGATACTCTGTGACCAGCAAAAGTTCATCATAATAATCGCCAATGAACACAACTTTAGACTAAATTCAGTAAAAAAGCAATAATAATAATAATAATAATAAGCAAACTATAATCATGGTCAAATGACTTCACTGCGCTTCTGAACAAATCTTTCAATTTCTTTATTTAAAAATCGACAATTTGAAAAGTGTGAGTAAAGTGAATAGTGACTTTACCTGTCTGGCGTGATGACGCTTAATGTCACCTGTTAGCGAGTGCCAGTTTCAAGACACATAAAAGCTTTAAAAAAAATTAAGAGTGGGTATTACTGTATATAAAAATAAAACACAAAAAATATCTTGAGCTTGTGTTCACCACAGACCGTGTTTCAGGCATTTAACCAAAAAAAAACATTTTAAAAACCCATTGACTTCAGGATAAAATGCTAAATCGTGTTAACGCGTTCCTTCAGCACTCTATACAGCATTTATTGTTTCGCATTTCATTATGTGTACGTTTATAACAAATGATCCAAAGTAATACGAGATTTAGTAATCATCTCGCAGGCTAGCAGTATGCTGAGCAGTTAAAGAATAAGACGCTGTTCTTAATTTGCCATTATATATAATTTAAAAGATATTAATGGTTGTATTTACCAAGTTAAGATGACGTATAAATCCAATGTGTAGGTTTTCTAATCAGGCACGGGATTGAATACCCATAAAAGGCCTCTCAGCCAATGGAATCACTAATCTATAATCTGTAGAATCGCTTTGGTCTCACTTGCTCTAAAACTGAAATCTCCAGTGCCAACTCACTGCAAGGCACCAAATATATGCTCGTTTTTAATTGATCAGATACTTTCATAATTTGCAGAGGCAACTAGAATTGGTTGACCCTGAAAAGTAAACACTGTAATGTTTGTTTGAGAATCCTAACCAGCCCAACACAGCTTGAGCACGAGTTGAAAAACACACAGCAACAGTTTTAACTCGGGACTGTGTTTGCATTCAGGACGGTTCTCTCAGGAGAAGCGGCTCTTTCGGGAAACTCAGGGAAGTCCTGCGCAGAAGCAGCGAGATGCTGGTGAAGAAAATCCAAGGAACCATGCCGCCAGAGCCTCACAGCACAAAGTGAGACACACAAACACAGCGATTCATGAACGTTGAACCCAGCTTTAGCAGCTTTACGGCCTGCTAGAGTGTTGTTCTTTCGTGTAAATGAGTTGTTTTTCATCCCACACAGCATGAAGAGAGCCGCGTCCCTCGGTTATCTGAACAGTAACGGAGATGAGGGCGACTCTTTTCAGGTGAGCTGCTGTGTGAGCTCAGGGTTTAATTTGATTGTTTTAAAGGAGATTAATGGAGTAGTGCTGATTTGTCGGTCGTCTCGTCACAGGGTTCGGGAGCAGCGAGGACGCTGAGAAACAGCAGGCCTCTGAGCTCAAGCACAGTGGAGCTGTACAAAAGCACAGACCAATGAAAAATACATACATGTTCTGACTCATTTCTTACTAGATTTGTAGGAGGATTTGGTTCATGTGCTTTCAATCATGAACGCTTTTGGCTTTTGGTCTGAGTTTACACATATAAATCATGCATGTTTCTTTTTCTTCAAGGAATGGTTCGTCCAGAAATGAAAACTTATTCTCATGTGGACCACAAAAAACACATTTAACTAGCAGCTCTTTTTCTGTAAAATAAAAGTGAATGGAAATGGGTGCCGTCAGACTCCAAAAACAACTAAAAGCTCTATAAAACTAACCTACTTGTGCACCAAATTCTTCCTAAGACATACTGTACAGACCAAAATATGGAAGCTTGTTTC